CCCCCCCCTTAAAAAAAAAAGAAACTCCTGACTTTCAAGTTTTAATGCGGATTTCGACAGATCTCAATGAGCGCAGTTGGATGCCGCAATCAAAAAAAAAAAAAAAAATTCTGGGCATTTTTTTGGGGCATCCGGTTTTGCCGGTTCACCCCCCCTGGACCGCCGGTTGGACCGGGGCAGGTGATCCGGCCGGTTGCCGGCCCAGCCTTGAATAAAAATCATTTTGCCCGTGAAATAATCCCCGTGCCGTATTTCCATTTTTTCCACTTTGCCATGCGTCAGCTAACACAAGAAGTACGGCCACTTTGGAAATTTTTCGTATGCAGAAGAATTCACAGAAAAATCTAAAACTATGGAGGTCCTAGATTTGGTTGTGACCTTCCCAGGGAAAGTATCAGAATTACAACCAAAAAAAACACCATTTTGTCCATGAAATAATTGCCAAGTCGATTGCTCATAACCTAAATTGGGTAAGGTCCCAGGATAACGCGGGGTGGATTGTAAGGTTCCTGGCCTTATATTTGCATTTGGAACAGGGTTACATCCCTGCCGACCCCCGACCCCGGTCGCCGACCGTATTGCAGCCGACCATTAGGGCCGACCGGTCCGCAGTTTCCCCACCAGTCAGGGCAAAAAAAAAAAAAAAAACAACCATCCACTGATTTTTTTTCAAACCTGAGTTGGGGGCTGTACTGCGCTTGCTGAGTACAGCCCAAATCCGCTGGTTTGGGGACATGGGAGGGGGTGTGGGGAGGTTGGGGTTGGCATATAGGGGAGGTATACGGGGGTATACAGCGGTATAGGGGTGATATAGGGGGTATTGGGGGGGGGTAATGAGGGTGTTGGGGGCGGACTGGGGGTATTGGGGGCTGCTATGAGGGCGTTGGTGATATTATTAGGGGTTCTGGACCCCAAAAGAAAAAGAAAAAAAAAATTATTATTATTATTTTCTTTTGCGGGGTGCCGATGATCCCCGACCCTTAGGTACCAACCAGCCGATCGGTCAGTGAGTCGGCAGCAGACCAGTCAAGGGCAGCCGACCTGCCAGGGGGTACAACCGTG